TTGGGGTTCACAGATACGCGCAGTCACCCAGTTTCCGCCAAATTTATGTTCTACTTGAACCCAGATTGCACGAAGTTAGCGAAATGTACTCATTTGCAAACAAATTTGGTTTTTCCGAAGACTCACCTGGAACCAACCCGAATCACTCGTTTAGGATGTTTCCAAGCAACTGAATGTGCTGCGATGGGCCACCTCTCTCCACTGATGGTGGACTACAATGAGGATAACATCCATGGAGCAGCATGTGCCTCATATCGGGGGAAAAGCATGAACAAAATAATCATTCTTTGTAATATACTACTCATAAGGTTGCTGAAAATCCGTTGACAGCCCACGACCGGTTTCGCCCTTTCTGGGGCTCATCAGGTAGGCGTAGTCTCCGGTTTTTCGTCGACTTCATGTTCTACTTGAAACCAAATTTCAAGAAAACATGAAAACATCACAAGTCTAGAGAGATGAAGTCGAGATTTTGGGTTGGGTTTGAACCACAAACCTCCCGGTCAGTGGTTGAAGTATCTCTGGACCAGAGGTGCTCCCAAAATCTGAATCGTATTGTCTGCAGGCATCTGATCCCCAGTAACGAAAGAGTGATGGAGCCACTAACAGGCGAAGGGTCGGGATATCTGGAACACTGAATAAAGCTTACCAGAATCAGTTAGGTGGGAGGTGTATTATGAATTCTCAAGCACTATCAACTGAGGAAGTTCTTGTTCTCCATTCCAAACCTTTGCCGGACAAAGTTCATGAGGGTACATCATGCAATGGCGATGAAGAAGAAAAAAGGCTGTGAAGCGCTGTGAAGCCTTCTCGCATTCCTGTCTGGAGTCATATAATCAACCTCAGCGCTCTGAAGCCTTCTCGCATTCCTGTCTGGAGTCTACGTGTTTGCCTTTAAAGTGACTGCGAGTCCCATAGGAAATCGCATGTAACTGACCCCAGCAACCCTTCCTCAGGACAACAATTCCTGCTCGCAAACTTACAGTGTTATCCCATGTAAATGGTATGGCAATTAGTTCAACACAAGTTAAGACATTCGCCTGTAAGTGAAAGCTTGAGTGTAGGCTTTACAGGACTAAGCGAGACACGAGGTCAATAAGCAATACAGTGAGTAAGTATTAACTCCAACAACGAGCTAAAGGAGGGAACACGAAGTTAGGTTAGGTCGAAATCCTGACCAGTAAAAGTTTGTATCCTAAACAGGCGTGTGATGTAAACATACATATACTAGTGAAAGCAAAAAATATAGGAGAGAATTCATTGGGCAAAACTGGAACAAGTACCAAACTGCCTGCCTCACATTTATCCCACCGCAAGCTTATCGGTTGAGTACCCGGCAACAGGACAGTAATCTCTATCTCAGGTAGTTCCATGAACAGGACAAGAAATTAATGAACTTAGTGATACAGAATACAGCCGCCAAAAAAAACTCGGTAAACGGTTGAGGGTACAGGTGACTTTCGGTCTCATAAACTCCACTAACAATGGGGGCTGAACAGAGACTGCCTGAGAAATTCGAATCCAGGTACTTCACTTCAGATCTCTACTAGCGAGGGATGAGTAGGCCTCCGTGACAATATCTGAACAATATTCAGATATTGCCCTTTCAGTGCCTAGCTGCCTTGCCACCTGAATGAACCATGAGGGCCGAGATAGTGGTACATCGCTCAAGCCTAGATAGGGACAGTCGAAATGCAGAGTTTGCGTTCGAACTACGGACCTTCCGGTCAGTAAGTTCGTTACTTAGCTACTCAGCTATCTCAAGCTCTATACTGAGAAGCAACATTCCGGTTAGTCGTTATTTAGCTACTCAGCTATCTCAAGCTCTATACTGAGAAGCAACACCAGTTATTACGTCTAAACACGAGCATGAATTGATTACATGGGATCTCGTCAATAACATGCTGGACAATATCCTGGGATTTCTCAACATCCAGGGTAAAAGAGTAGTCCTAGACTAGTAAACACGTTTGTCCAGTACACTTTGTGGCTAGAGATTTGTCTCAAGAACTTCGAAAGTATACCCCATTACGATATCATCGGCGTACTGGCTTTGGATGAGAAGCACCTTTCCTGAACGCCAAGCAAGATGAAAGAATTAGGTAATGGCATCCTGAGTGACACTACCGTCAGCCGACAACGGAGGAGAGGAACGGCCACTGACGTTCATGAATTGTATGCGGTTATGTAGATTTCATCTAGCTGAACCAGACTAGAATCACCCTTTGCTTCACCGAAAAAGCAGTAATTGTATCCTGTTGACACCAGAGAAGCATCAGTGTAGTCAATGTACCACAGAAGTACTGTTGCGCCTAGCTTGAAGTCATGATTATTACCGGATTCATTTGCCTAATCAGCCCATGTGCTTTTGACCTTGACTCTTTTTGCTCACTTGCGTCCGCCATTCACCTTGCCGCCACCCCGTCCGAAAGTGGTTTGTCTGCATGTGTGGTCGTGTGAATGTGCGCAGCTGGTCTACTTACCCATGAGTGCTCGTGTCCTGTCTGCCGGGCTTGCTCTAACTTGTGGTGCTTTTCACGTGATCAGCAGTGCCAATCACAATCTAGAGACTCGCCGCGGTAGGGAAGACCGGAAACCATACTACGGAGTCTATTAGTGCACAGGTAGTGGTAACCATAATACAAATCAGGTGAATGTGCACTAATAGAAGTTTTTGTATGGTTGCGACAGGTATAAAAATGAATACAATGCGAGGATGGGAGCAAGTTAAAAAGGGAACTTATCGGATGCGAGAGTCCCTTGGTGAAAGTCCGGACAACGGTAACGTGTTTTCTCCGCAGTTTGGCTGCTACACGTGTTCCATGATTGTCCGTGGACTTGGAGTGCTTGGCTGACCCCTTGCCCCCTGCGCGCGCGCGAGTCTGTGTGTCTTGACTGGGTTCGGTTTGCCTTTATGTAGGTCCCAGTGCGTGTATGTGGGCGCGTCGGCACATGAGTGGTTGCTACGCTGACTAGGCGGTGCAGACAATCGATGTCCGATGTGTCAGCTTAATGCGACGTGTTTGTGCGTATGAGAAAAAGACAAGCCTCGCTATCCAGTGAGCGACTGTGAGTTGAACAGTCAAGTATGTGGGCGACCGGGTCGCTACAAGTCAACCTTGTGCCCGCTGATGTCTGATTTGCTTACATTGACACTTCAATGAGCAGGTCAGCACCGTAGGGTTTCGAACCCAGTTCTTCCTTTTGCTAATCGGGATTGTCGAACCTACTGGTGGCTCAAATTTCCGCATCGGGAACTTAAACGCATACAGTATTCGATTTTTATCCACTGCCGGAGTGACGTAGTGAACAGGTATGCAACAGCGTCTGCTACGGAGTGAATGTGACAATATGCAAGGCTTCTTCGAATAGGGGACCTTATACTCGCTTCAGGATGACTAGTTTAAACAGCTTCAGAAGAACCGTGGTGCAAGTGATTAATCTCAGGTTTGTTGTCCTTTAATCATTACTTATCTTAGCCGCTCGCCAACAGCCAGGAATTTCCTTAGTGGAAGGGTAAGTGGTTATTACCTAAATGAACACGATACTCATAAGGATCTTGGAAACCGCTCAGTAGCTGACGAGTGGCTAAAGTTCCTTGGGACCTATCCTGTGGGCGCGACGCCCGAGTTTCCGTCAATCTTCTGTTATACTGGAGTTTGGCTGCATTTTAGTCATGTGGGGTCATCCATAATATTGGTTAATCCCCAACCAGTCAGATAAAAACAACCAGACGCCGGTACATACACAACAAAATCGATCTGAATTAACTCTAGTGGCGGTGGAATGGAAACGAGTAAAGCCAGGGAGTTCTGAAAGTGGACTACCAGAGGCAATATAAGTAAGTTTGTAAGGACAATAGATAATCGATTGTAGGGTTGTAGTCCAGAGGTGATAAACTTATAAAATTCTCCGAATGTTCATATTAGAGACGTGTGGAAACCCACCAGTATCTTTTCACTTGCGTCCACCTTTTGTCTGCGAAAACTGACACTCATCAACGCGAATCAACAGTCCTCTAACTGACCGGTACCAGCTTCCAATTTGTATTGGTACCAACTTTCTTGGGGTATCACAGCTCCATTATTTCTTTGCTGTCTCCTAAACAGAAGCTTGCATAAGTGTGAGATCGTTCCTGCTATTGTTATATCTATCTGATGTCCCCGCCCCAGTGCCTTGGTGCCGGAAAAAAGACTCGCCAACAAAGAACACAACTTTATTGCGAACAAGCGAGTGCGTGTAAGTACCACGGCCTCACGCTGTATTTTAAAGGCCCTGTTTGACCTTGATCCGAAGCTGTCTCGCGCAATATTTTGAAGGACACTGTCTGACCTTGATCTAGGGCTGTCTGATGGGCGCTTAGTGGAGTTTGAAGGTCTTCGTAGGTTTCGGGTATTCTGGGATAATCTTCAGAAATCCGACCTGCCTGACAGGTACCACTAAGGGATCATCACATGGCTCTGTATTCTTTCGGAGCATTTAAGCCTGAATGCAACCATCCAGTCTGAATTTTGCTTCTTGTTTGACAAGTGCACGTTCCAACAGTTTCTTACACTGCTCCTAAATCCCGTCTGCAAATGCCCTCGGAAGAACAAAGATCTCAGATAAATGGTGCTGTTGGTGAGCACCATAACCTTCAGTTCGATATATTAGGACATGGTTCAATCATAGTCCATTGAAAGATGACCCCATGTAAGTTTACAGGAAAGAAATCGCAAAGCTCCGAAGCGCAGGCTATTCTAAGACCACGTGCTGATCAGCAAACACTAACTAGAATACTCGTCCTACACTCACTGTCAGTGTGAATGGTAGCTTTGAGGAGTGGTACAATAGAGATCAGATGAAAACATCAGAGTTGTCACAGAAAAGAGGAGGTGTATCGCGACGAATTGAATTAACTGAATTCTCATCAGTTTCAGGCTGTAGAATGAATTCACACTTGGTACGACTACCTGTGGTGAATTATGACTGCAGGCATTCTCTATTTTCAGTACATTTGTTAAAGTAACCATCATCTGTAAACTTCACACACGCAACTTTCATAATATCAATTGATTATATCAGGGTTTTTGTCCTGTTGCTATGCGACCTGGCCGAATTCCAGGACAAACAAACGTAGCAACGCAATTCTAACCAGGCTAAGAGTATACAGTAGTTTCACGCGATTAGTAGAAATGTTGTCACAGGCGTGCAGCTGACATCTCGAAACTAGCGAACACTGTTTTTGTGTCCGATGAGGCTGTCTGATGATGGTGTGATCTTGAGCACTGTTGCAGAAAAAGCGACAGGATCTCACAATATTGGGGTTTTGCGGGGTAGGTATTTTTGTTCATAGCCACACCACTCTCGTTTGAACGGCCGTGTTCCCGTTCTGGCGTAATTATTCCGGTGGGTCCACACCAAAGGGAAGCACTGGACTCGAGTTTCGCTCTTATTAGAGATCATCATCAGCGCATATCCAAAGGCTGTGCCGGGATTCGAACCCCTGATATCTGGCATGCGAGGCGAGCGTGTAACCACTACTCTCACAATAGACAACTTGTGAACCGTTCAGTCCGGTGAAGGTGTGGTCGTATTGGTCCCCACAATAAGACATCACCGACTACCTCCAGCATGCCTGGAAGCATGCGTACTGGAAGAATAAAATAAAGTAACACCATGATTCGTGCGAACGTACGGGACAATCGGCTTCAGTCACATCGAGAATCACGGCTGTCATGTGTAAGTCACAGAAAAAGAATTGAGTTGTTGGACATCATGAGTTTCTTAAAAAACGAGAGACCGGACTTCATTACTCTGGACGATTCATGACACTGCTGGAGCTTCTGAAAATGTTCGACATCAACATGCACTACGAGATAAGGCGACAGGTGAACAGGCATATGATAGAAAAACACTAAGGAATGGCCCGTTGTGGAATTTGAGCAAACGGCCTCTCCGGAATGTCAAAGTCCTACGAAGTTTCCACACTGTCAGTCCATAGTCAGTCAGCTCAATTGGCGGAATGTACTGACAGTCATTGTGGAAGAAATCATTCACCTGATGACCGAAGGACCAATGACCTTTCCGTTCAGATCGATGCACTACTTCCTTTCGAAATTAAACTTTTGGTCATCAGACGGATAGAAAGTCCCTTACACCGTCATCCTGAAAATAGGATAACTTGGGACACGAGTGCTTGGGGAACTTGTGCTCCGGATCACACGTCGAGATCTCGGATGGTAGCCTCTGGCTTGTCTTTCGGATAGCATCTATTCTAAAAAAATCTCACACTCCAGCGCGGTGCCTTGGTAGTCTCAGTTGTGTGATGGTGCTTCTTTGGTGCGCACAATGGGCGGCAGCCAACGACCATCTACGCTACCTGAGCTACCGACATTCTCCTCTATAGAAAATGAGCGGCTATTTTGTTATAACGTCCGGTAATGTGAACTGCGAGTGTAGGCAGCAGTCAAATGGAAAGCGATTTCGATACTGTTCCGGTATCAAAGTTACTGATCTCAATCATTCCCTGCACATACGCCTTTTCCTATTATGCATCAACTTTCTGGAGGACATACATCAGACGCACGAAAACGTCTCGCTTATAAAGAAAATAGGGAAACTCAACACCAAACCTAGTACTGATCCCTTCATTTCCAGTAATTCATATATACATAAACTGTAATGAGTCCCATCGGCGATAGCGACCCTCTGAAGCCTCAGAAGTGACAAATGTTTTCAACTTTCGTAGAGCAGTAGAAAACAGACCTCAAGCTGGGTTATCTACACGGAATTATTATCGCTTGTTCAGATTGGAGACCCAATAAAAAGGATATCACTGATTCCAATCGTATTCTTATGTTAAAACTGAGCAGTAGCGTGTGCAACCAGGTGTAACACAAACAAGACCTGTGTACAACCCAGAGGCTAAATGGTTGCAACCGTGGACTAAATCTAACGCTCTTTCGTGTTTAGCATAGTGATGGCCAGATCACACACGCACTGCCTAAATGACCGGATTAATCCACTTCTTGAGTCGGTTCGAAATTCATGAGTTGGAAAACCAAACTATTCATTTATTGGGCATTTTTACGCCAGTTTATCTGCGTTAGCCTAGAAAAATAAACTAGTACCCCTTTGCAAATCCATTTGGTTTCCACGAAAGACTCAATTGAATCTCTCGTTTATGATATTCTACAACTGAATGTGCTGCACAAAGGCCTCCTCATGATTCAGTTGGCACGATATTCGAGATATCGCAGTGTATTTTCATAGAAGAAACTACTCACAAGGTTGCTGAAATCTCTTCGATAGTCCACGACCGGTTTCGCACTTCTCGAAAACAGTCCAATTTGGGTTCAAGTAGAACATAAGGTTGACGGAACTGCGCCTACCTGATGAGCCCCAAGAAGGACGAAACCAATCGTGGGCTGTCAAGAAGTTCTCAGCAACCTTATGAGTAGTGAATTAACCCTCGATTCCCCATGTTCATTCATAATGTTTGAACCTGGAGGGAAGTCACTTATATCCATGAGGTTGAAATTAAAATTGTGTGGCTCCTACGGTAGTAGAACATGTGGGCAAACGCAAAATTTTTCCCACGATCGGCGGTAACGCCAGTAAATGGCGACTGTACATCGAGACCCTATTCCTCACCACCAGAGCACCAAGGATAATAGATCTGGTATTGGTCCCAATAATGTGAGATGTTCTGAGCATCGTAGTGGTCATTTCCAAACGAGTTTCTCGTCACTATCGTTTTCCCGTTTGAGTGCAGTTTGCACACTCCCAGCACTGTTGCGAAAGGGAAAATGTAGTACTGAATAGGTGCAGTAAAAGTTGGTGTGATCAGGAAAATTTGAAGTTTTTATTACAAATTCTTTGCTGATAACAATAAATGTGTAAGGTTTGTATGTTTGTTTGTTCAAAAGCCATCATTTACTATCGGCCGGGTTCTAACAAATCCTTTGTTAGTCATGAATCGGTTTTGGTGAGTTGATAATGCCCGTACCCGTGAGACACTTCAAACGACACCAGGAAACCCAATCTCATTTCTGAAACTACGTATAACTCAAGTCAGCTCAGCTTTTCCTTGTTTGGCAGTCTTGACGATACGCACTCAGCCAAAACGGCATCATGTATGACCCTTGCGGATACTGTTTTCTTCCTCTAGAAGCTCGGGAAGACAGAGTGGACCATACTCCTTCGGTGATTATCTTTCGAACCCTCTGTGAGACTAGTGAAAATGACTGGAAACAACTCCACCTCCGTCAGCCAACGTACGGACGTCTATCCGGTTCCAGTATTTGGCGACAATACAGGTGAAAATTATGGCGTCAGACATTCTTCGTCTACGAAGCTTCAGTTAATAGTTACTTTCGGACTCCAACAGATGACAACGCATGGTTAAAGAGACACTCTGATGGCCCCTTGTTATAGGCAGTTCTGGCCGTCCGTTGCGTCGACATGCGGGGGAATACGTATCCACATTCCATTGAGTTTAACCTAACCTGATGATAATTCACCCATTCATCTGCTTACTGCGTCCATGTACTTTTGCACTCCGCTGGTTTTGCTCATCTGCACCCGACATTCACCTTGCCACAAAGGCCGTTTAATCCTGGCATGTGTGTGTGTGTGTGTGTGTGCCACGCCGATGACCTACTTAAGCATGCGCGTCCAGTCCGCTGAGCAGGTTGCGTCTTGTCCAGTGATTTCCGTCTCATCGCAGCGTCAACCAGAGTCACGAGAGTGCCAGCGGAAGGAACGACCACAGCCTTGTTGTTGTCCGCTTGCTGTTGAGGAGCTTGACACTTCGCTGAGCCGGTCAGTTCAGACTTGCGCACTTGTCAGCGCCAAGAACGTAAACAATTGAGTATCGTTGTATAGCTTTGCTTACCTTTGTGGAACTAGCACGGTAGTCTTTGGAACCCAGTTCTCCGTTCTGTGTTGTATAGCTTTGTGTAACTAGCACCGTAGTCTTTGGAACCCAGTTCTCCGTTCTGAAATTCGGGATTGCCAAACCTACTGGTGAGTCAAAGCTCCGTATCGAGAACCCCACCACCATGTGACCTTTGGCTATTCTGCCCTGTATTTCCGGTGACTCGAAATCCAAGAGGAATTGTGATCAACTTTGTTGAGAAGCGTGATAAAAACTGATAAATGAGCGTGACAAGCCTATTGGATCACACCAAGGAGCCACTTCGTACATGATGCCCAGGAATACGAGTTGATCAACCCGATTCCCTGAGGAAGCGGAACAACTTCCTGAAATTTGATGCATCTCGTTTCCTTCCTCCTAGCTAATCATGGCAACGACTAACAGTGGTAAATGCATCAATATCCGAGTTCAAGCATCAGCTTCCTACCAGCTAGTCAAAGCTGTAGATGTACTTGCAATCCGAGAGGACATTCCAAGCCAATACTGCTCCACTGAAATTGACTTCCATGGTCCAGGCATTTTACCTGTGATATTCTCCTATCTGTCCCGACCACGTGTGTTGCTATAAACTCTACTGATAACATACCTGTGTCTCTGATTCCAGGTAACTTGAGACTTCGTTCAACACGAAAAGTTTTGCACACAAAATGACCTTTAAAGCGCTTAAAATGGAAACACCCGCATCCCGCAAAATAAGTGAATTAGTCATAATTCCTGGCCAATACCACCCAGTTATTCATACACCTAATATTGTTATCAGATTCCGTTCTGTTCCATATGTACATTGACCATTGTTAATCCTGAGGGCCAGTGTAAGCGCAACACGCACTATGTCTACCTATGTCTGTGGAAAGGACCTCGTGATATTTGGCAAACGAAGCCTCTGGCTTGTTATGGCTACTGTAACTGAGGCATTGTAATCCGTCGCCACATTTATTTACCATTTTCCTGAACTTAAACTACATTTTGTAACTGCTGTACATTCTTTATCACGACATTTGTTTCATTGTACCAAGTAATGCAATACACAAGTTTTCGGCGCGACTTTCTGACCTCTTGCTGAGTCAGTGTATTTACGCTCCGTTGGACTGTTTGCTGACTGCTGAACCAGTGGGACTNGACTGATGAACAAGTGGGACTGTATCTCTGTGTTTATGTGAGCTGTTGAACGTCACAATAATTCCCTGTGACATTTTTTTAGCTGTGAATAACTTTCCTATCGTGGGATATACTGATAACACGTGAAGCATCTGTGGAAAATTCCTACAAGTGAATATTGCCTTCACAGCCGGTCACTGCATTGGAATCGGTGTAGTGGACTATTGGATCTGTAGCAACCCAGGCACACACACACTTGACTGTTCAGCTCACAGTCGCTCACTGGATCACGAGACTTGTCTTTTTTCATACTCGCAAATCACGTCACATGAAGGTGACTCATCAGACGTCGATTGTCCGCACCGTCTAGTGAGCGTAGCAACCACTCATGTGCTGACGCGCCCACGTATACACAAACGGACCCACATATAGGGAAATCGAATACAGTCAGCACACTCAGAATCGCGCGCGCGCAGGGAGCACGAAGTCAACTTCTCCACGAGTCCACGGACAATTATGGAACACGTGTAGCAGTCGCACTGCGGAGAAAAACACGTTCCCGCCATCCGGACTTTCACCAAGGGACTCTCACCGACGATAAGTTCCCTTTTGACTTGCTCCACATTTTATATTACCTTTATTTTATATATGCTACAAATCGCTCCTGTAAACAATTGTCAATCACAGTTAAAAACTTTAATTAGTGCATACACCTTCTGAGTTGTGTTATGGCTATCCTCACCTGTGCACTAACAGACCTACGCATTCATGAGTTCTTATCGAGTGCTTATTCTTTTCTTATTGTGATTTTGTTACCTTGCTCGTTTATTTGATCCAACACGCTAATAAGGTCCTAAGTCCGCTACAGCACCAAGACTAGTTGCATAAGCAGATTGTCGAAAGCGACGGGATTTTTTCCAGATAAGCCCCGCCACCAATGCAAAAAGTGCACGTGCGAAAATTTGAGCCCCACCACTTTTTGCCGAAAAACGGACTTTTTCGTGCAAATTATTAATGACATGTCCCAACTTCACCCTCTTCAATAAAAACTGAAAGTACGACCCCCATATCCTCTTTTTTCGAATCTTTTTCGGGTGGCGGGGGTTAATTTTTTGGCGGGGCTTATCTGGTAAAAAATTCAATTCGTCTGCAAGGATCAGGATCTCGACAGGCCGCAGTGTTATGAGTTAGGCTACCTACGGTATGGTTTGGAATGCGACCTTTCTCTGGTATCGCAATTATTCGACCAGTGCTTCCGATATTTCTTTTAACTACGGTGCTTCAAGAGGTGGTTAGACCGTGAGTCGGGTCATATCCCATGTTCCTAACACTAGCCGTGTTTTTGAAGCGTTCAGGTCCTGCCTCTAGTGATTGTGTCACAATGAAAATACAGGCCTAAACAGATATGGTAAAGCCCGCTGGATCAGAGGCTGAACTTTACCATGTTGTCGGATAAAATATTCCGAATGGTTGGTGGCCGTCGATATCTGTGAAAAACGTGAATTCAGCGTCTGGTGTGCTATGTAGGCACATTCCTCTGACTTTGTAAAACAGCGAACAGACTGGTGACCCTTGTGACATAGAAACCTTTGATGTGGTTTGGTCCAAGAGATATTTGCGGTGGACAGGTCGGATTACTGTTCCGTCTGTCTGGCTGTCTGGATATTCAGTTCTCCAAAGAAAGGAATGCTATTGCACAACTCGAATCAGTAGATAGAACTGGGACTTGGGTGAATGAATTAAGAACATCAAAATGATCACAGTTCGTGTTCCCCAAAGAGCAAGAATGACTGACGTCCGGATAAAGTTTATACGGTTTCAATTGACTGTTACGTTACTTTACGTGGGACCAGGCAGGTTATCCATCAACCTGCTAGTATGCTGAACCTTGGAGATAAAATTTGAAGTTTTTATTGCAAAGTGGGATTAGATGTTTAGGGAGGGAAGCAGAATTCTGACTGAGAGCAGAATGGGTTGAAAAATACTTACGTAACCTCTACTGTCTCCCCCAGTGGTGCATTAGTAGACTTTGAAATGCAGACCGCAGAACGAGGTGAGTCGAGCACAAACACAACTTGAAGCATGTAAATATGACTATGGGTGTAAATGTAGGCTTGTGGTCATGAACCCAGTAAGCTGAGTTGTGATATAGTTGGCTGATCATCGCTTGGTTAGAGGCGCTTTGGGTCTGATTGTGGGACTCTGATTTGCGGTGTCGGCACCAATCGGTTTTAAGGCATGTTACTGATACTCAGGGGCTAACCGGCATGGATGCCACAAGGCATCAAATATGAAGTGGGACCTATACAGTCAGCTGGCGCCGCAGAGTTACTGTGACCATATTAGTCGTTGGAACCTGTAGTCAAAACGGGGTGCTTTCTGTGTGGTTGGAACTCAGACAAAAACAGACTGTAGTAGGAATAAAGCAATCTAGATTGTGGCTGCGGTAGACATCAGTGTCAGGGGCAAAACATTAGAAAGTTAAGGGGTTAAAGTGGGTTCAAAAGAAATGTGTGCGCTAAAATATGCTTCGGAATTTTTTCAGTAATAAGTAGTTTGACAATCCCTATTTTTGCAGTAACTCGGCATCTGTCGCAAGTGTAAATGGAGACGAGTGAAGTGATCCAGCTTCTAGCCGGAGACAACAAAACTGACGAAGTACAAGGTTTCCGCGATACCAGTGAACACTGACAACACTTTCCGGTGTGGTACAATATCGCCGACCTACTTGTTATTGGCTTTACAATCTTAGAAGGAGTGGCCACCAATGTCGCAAGGTCCTCAATAGAATTAATTGGTCGGATATGCTATTCTCTCTCTGTCGAGGGTAAATCAGGACTTTTAAACGTACTTTGCATTCCGCTGGCTACATTAAATCCAACAACTTGTGTTGAAGTGCAGAATGTCGGTGTACTTGGCCGAACTTTATTGGTAACATGTAACTGTGTTTACACTGGAACTGTAAAATGTGTATTTGGCCAAAATGCGTCACTGATGACCCTGGGGTTGATAGTTATTGGGATTTATCTACCAATGTTAAACTTAACCATTTAGTGCACTAACACCAAACTCACAAACAATTCTACCATGTGTAACCTCGAAATCGGCCGGAAGAGCTAATGGCAGACCGATTAATGGCGAACAAATGTTTACGCCGCTCTCGAGAATGGTCTCAAGTTACCGTACGACTATCTCTGCATCAACATCAGATGTGGTGGTTATTTATGTAAATTCTCAGCTTGTTTATTTATCAAGTTGGAAGGTACCCAGGACATCAAGTTGTTTTGTTTGAATCTAGTGCTCCAGGGCTTCAACACAGGTTTACATTTGAGAAATGATCGTTTTTTTTCGTATGGCTACGCTGTTATCTGTACGGTTTGTATCCATTCGGTCAAAAACCTGAACTCCACCTTTAAATTTACAAGTATTATGAACAGAAGATTGAATGAGTGGAAAGTCCACATCAAATAGCAAATAGGCAAATCGGTTGCTTGGGTGAACGAATTCACCTATTAGAATATTGCCTACTTACTGGGAGCAAGTCTGGTCAAGTGTGCATAACTAAAATGAATGCTCATGGGGAAGGTTAAATATAATTCAGCTGATTCACGTGCGTTTCTTAAATATGATTGGTCACAGGATTTGTGTATGATAAAGAAAACTACTCACAAGGTTGCTGAAAACTCTTCGACAGCCCACGACCGGTTTTCGCCCTTCTTGGGGCTCATCAGGTAGGCGCAGTCCCCGTGTTTCCGTCAACCTTATGTTCTACTTGAAGCCAAATTGGACTGTTTTCGAGAAATACACTCATTCGTGCATGATAGTTACTTGGTCTGTTACGAATGGTCCAGTAAGACGGGGAAACAGCGGGGATATGCGTCAGGGTGCACGCAGTCGAACAATACTGATCCGTTTTATTCTGAGCTGAGCCAAGATTTTGTCTTCTGATCTCATCATGGATGAAGATGATCAAAGCTTCCAGGACTAATGTATGTTGACACAGTATTTCTAATGTACCCCTATGGGGAAATAAACCCTCTAATTTTAGGACGGCGCATTCACTACATGGGCAAATAACTAGGCAACCTCTGGGGAATGAATCGGACAGTCACCTAAGACCACATAAATCTGCCCTCATCCAGATCACTATCTACATTCGTTGAGAGAGGCCTGCCTTCTCTCAAATGATCGGTTTTGTGTAGTTATGAAAACAAAGTTATATAGTCGAAAGAGAACGACACCTGCGAATTTGAATGTCACAAGAATACGTCGACAGAAAAGTTTTAAAAGCGGGCTATATTAATAAACTCCAATCTCAGCCCTACATGCCATCGGTTGTGATATCGACTTTTTGGTTCACCAACCGGTGATCATCTCCTATCGAGGGATCTGCTTTCCTCAATCCGCTAAGGCTGTTATTGGACTGGGACTTCCTAAGGTCACAGTCAGGGACTTGTGTTTGCTTGCCATTGTGGGCTCCCTGCGTACTTATGACACTTTTATGCGTGGCACATGGAGCTGAAGGTACATTTTTAGTAAAATTGACAACTGGTTCTGCACTTATAACTGACAGGCCCATTCAAAACCCTTTCTATGTATTTCCGTATTTTCGAACTAATAGCTATAGGTGCATTGTATCGAAGTTACCACGAGACGCTCACAGGTAGACTATCTTGACTATGCTTCGTTTCAATCCAAATTACTTTATTCTATCTAACTTCACGTTACTTCTCCTCTTTCCTCTACTTTACTTCACTTTACGCCAACTAGCTTAATTTTAGGGTGACTGAGATCGCTAATGTGATGAATCGGCTTCACAAGCAAATGCGTTATACAATCGTTGCCTATAAAGGCTGCCAGGGAGCAGTTGTGGGCAGATCAAGGGCAAGTGCCGAACCCGGCAACAGATCCATTATGATTCCTGATCACCAGAACGCCTCCTACATTACGCAATGTGAGTTGCGGATCCTGGTTTTCAGCCAACCTCCAAAACGATTGCATCATCTGAAGTACAGAAGAGGAACCACTACGATTTTGAACAGCTCGTATGTAGGCTTTCAGGCAGTGTGTTTGAACCAATGATTTCATCCTGGATGCACTGGCCGCCTGAGATGTGCGAGATGGGCCAAGTGGTTAGAGCGCGAATTTACTGACCGGAAGGTCCGTGGTTCGAACCCGACCTCTGCCTCTCGACTTCCCCCTTGAACAACCTGGCAGTATCCCAGCTCTCGTGCCTTCTTCGTGTGGCATGGCAGCTAGGCACCGAAAGGGCGCTACAGCTGAACGATTTTTTTGAGATGCGAAAACCAACACTTACAAATCACCAGATTTGTTGATTCGTCGATTTTCTAGGAAATATCTTACACATGAATGATGGAAATAACTTGATTTCGGGTGTCTTCTCCTACGGCCGTAGGTAAGCATTGGACACTAACGGAGTTTGTTTCTGAAGGTGCTGAACGCCGCATGTTACTGCATCGACAGGGAGTAGAAGCCGAGCGTCGAAAGGCTACAAAGAATCAAGTCCTATGGGGGACTTTAACCTAGTTTTGTGAAACCAGTACAGTAATTCGCGAAAAAGTGGTGGCTTGCTCAGCAACAACTTGTAGATCTTCCAAGTTCGTTCCAACCAAGACGACATCAGCGGCACATTCAAAGACCCTAATCCAAATTCCTGTGCTCAGCTGGGTCAGTGATTTGATAATTGTTGTGTGATATGAGGTATCATCTTCTCTGTATGAAGGTAAGATCATATTCGGTGTCTTCAGCCTAAACTAGAATTACAGCTCCCGGTTGTGGCCAGCTGGCTGCTTCCTATATTTGTACTGACCGCGATTGTCATGGAGCCGGGTTGCTAAAAGGAAATTTGTAATGGTAATCCGAGCGCCATATCAGAAACATCTTCACCATTAGAGTGGGATGTCGCCGAGTCTGTAGTCAGCAAGTTGACATCTGTCAAATTCACAAGATCATATGTCTAATTTGTTCACATTCCCAGACTCGATTGTCCACTGATCAACACAAGCCCATTTACACTTGAATCGAATTCATCAGCGATTGAACATTTTCAAGCTATGTCAGCGTTTCCAGGATACAGGACTTCCCTGGAGTGTCGCATGACTATTGGAGGTAGGGGCTTTCAACGGACTGTTTGATTCTGGTTCAAAACTTTGCCTTCAGATAGAAGTCCCTCAACTCAGCTATTATCCACCATCATCAAATTAATACATAGATAATTTTACTTTGCGGAACTGTTTGAATCTTTCGTTCTGGGATGCACTACAGGCGATTTCTGTGAAGCCCTGACGCCTGTTGATATAACTTAATCGTGAATTGATTGATCGACAGCATACTGATCCGCGTATACTTTAGAATAGTAAACACACCCTGAAGGGCGCTTTCACTGCCCTAACGATCCGCCAGAAGAGAGGTTTGCAGCGCCAGTGTGATAGAGAGCGAATTGGACGTTTGCCACTCAATCTAGCAGAATGAGGCTGCTGTTCACATACTCTTTTGCAAGTTTTATGAGTGTTCATTTAGGTTAGGCTAATCAGCTGTGTGCCTACTACCCTACAGCTGGTAGGGGAGACGCAAGATGAAGCGGAAACCGGTCGGTCGATTCAACAGTTCCAGGGGGACTGTGGTCAACCACAAATTAAACGCTACCGCCTAATGTCCAAGCAAGAAAAGTTCGTAGGAATATTCAAAAACTTTGTCGGTTCATCAGACCGAATGGAACAATCAACAGTCATCGATTGCCCAAATCACAAAATGTCTTTAAGCAAACATAAGGAAGACGCTCTGTGGACAACAAACCTCAAGCTTGAGTAAGGTATGAACCAATACCCTGCTACATTTGCCCGTTCCGTAAATGCAGCTGCGTGGCAAGGTTGATCAAGACCATGCTAAAATGGGCCCCGCTGAGACTCGGGATTGGATTGAGTGATACCTGTTGGTTCCAATCTCCCCGTTTGCTATTTTGTTCAGCTCAATTCTGATCGTTTTCGGTGCGCAGTCAATTTTCCATTCTGAATACTTGTTTTAAATCTGTCACGTGACGAAGTACAAATTTTGTCTCATTTCATAGTAACTCAGCTGACATGCGTGCACATTGATTGAACTTTCAACAGCTTCATGTTTCATGTTTTCTATTCGTGCTTTCCTTCTGGTCTTCACTATTTACTTATAGAGGCAAAGCAACGTCAAAAAAGGTTGAAAATCCGCGTTAGTCTTATTCAGGATCCAGACAATGCAGTCCTACACCACGTGGCTAGTGGAGAATTTGCAGAACTGTCCATCATCAGTTTCAACCTTGACCCAGGCTTGTACGCTGCTGTTGACGCGGACAATGATTAGTGAATCAGTACCTGAGGATAATGGATCATAAACTTAGAAGTAAGAGCTCATAAGTCATCGAAAGAAGGAACCGGGTGTTTAAAAGGATATTTTAATGGTAACAGAAACACTTTTTACAAAAGCTTCTTTTCGTGAGACCACTTATACTTATATTGAGTAGAAAGATGTTCTAATGTAAATGCATTGGCAACTTTCCCATTTCGGACCACTGATTCCAAGATGTCCACCTCAAATGTCGTCTGTGCTCAAATGGAATCCAGAAACACTTTTTACAAAAGCTTCTTTTCGTGAGACCACTTATACTTATATTGAGTAGAAAGATGTTCTAATGTAAATGCATTGGCAACTTTCCCATTTCGGATCACGGATTCCAAGATGTCCACCTCAAATCTGTTGGATTTCCTCCACATCTGTCTTTATCTTTTGATAGGGGCGGTCACCTTGTTCTTTCAAACAACTCCGCTTAACTTGTCTAGCACATCCGTCCGTGTTCACTATATCACGTGACTCTTTCGTATCTCAAGCACTCAGCTCACGTGACACAACACTGTCCCGCGTGATACCTAGACCGACAACAAGTCAGTTCCCGTCTTGTACGCGTCGGAACAATTGTAGGTATCATACACACGTCGAACCTTCCTATGCAGAGGGAGACACGACACGGTCACCACACATACTGGCGCGCGCGCAGGGGGCATTGAGTCAACCAAACCTGTCGGAACGATTGTAGGTATCATGCACACGTCGAACCTCCCTATACAAAGGGAGACACGACACAGTCACCACACCTACTGACGCGCGCGCAGGGGGCATTGAGTCAACCAAAATCTTCGGGTCCACGGACAATTATGGAACACGTGCAGCAGCTACACTGCGGAGAAAACACGCTCTCCCCCGTCCGAACTTTCACCAAGAAACCCTCACAACGATAAATTCCCTTTACGACTTGCTCCACCTTTCGCATTGTACTGATTTTACACATGGTGCAACTCGCCACTGTAAACTATTATCTACCATAGTAAAAACTGTTATTAGTGCGTATGCCTTCTGAGTTATATTATGGCTATCGTAACCTGTGCACTAATACGCTGATTCAGAAACTTCAGACTTGCAATGAGGCAGACGAAAAACATGCGCGGAACGAAACTAAGACTATAAAGGTCAACATGGAAGAACCGAGACTGGTGAGGAAAGAAAAACCCAGCTGCGTGCGGATATCGTGATGAAGGCTCCAGGTGCGAAAAAGAAGTCAGCCTTGACAACCTATTGATTAACATGGCGTGCTTCCATTTCGACGACTCGGATTCTAGTCTTCGCGTGAACGTCTTCAAACAGACTGCTGGTCCCCGCCTTGAAACTCTGTACACATGCTTCAGCAACAAAGATACAAGAGATAGCTATCCCGTTTTCAGTACTTCCCAGGGTTCCAGAAATAAAATGAGCGCCATTTGCAAACCATGTGATGAAGTAGTCAGAAAAGTGGAACTGTCGGCCGACCAACTTCCTCAATTTTCACAATTCAATGGAAGAACTTTCTCCTTTCAGGGCAAAACACAGAATAGCTTGGGTCCAGATTTAGTTTAATGGAAGGATCCAGAAAAATATTTTCGGTTTCATGACCAGCTAAGCATGGAGTTCCATCCAAAGCAAACTAGCCACTTTGCGGTGTTGTTTTTACCACAGTTTTCCAGTCGGAACACACTACTCTTGAGGTTACTGAAAACTCTTTACAACGCATTACCGATTCCATCCTCCTTGGGACTATTTAGGTAGGCAAAGTCCCCGAGTTTTCGTCAGTTATGTGTTCTACACTGACTTGTAAACTATTATGGTTTTAACGAGAGACTCAGTCGAATTCCAGCAGAAGAATACCACAAACCACAGAGGTTTCAGCTGGGATACACTTGCGGTCTCCGTTAGAATCAAGTGAGCTTCTCATGCCTTCTCTGCAGCAGTAGCCTGACCCGACTGCCTCCGCTCAAGTCTTACTCGGTTCTCCAAGCAATCCCGTCGCTCGTGTCTCCGTAGAATGTGGTAGACAGCAATTATTTCCAGACACGATTGATATTTTGTTGACATCAGATATGTTCTACCCGATGTGCAATCGGTATCACTTCGTGGTGGACGGATTCGCCACCTTTAGTTAACGCACATGCAAGGCGCTCGACTGAAACTCAAAACATACACCAGCTGTGATGTTTTCAAGCATGAATATGCAACTTCTGAGCGAGTACAACTCATCTGCTGGATCTAAGCCTGCCGCACTCCACGAGTGATATCCAGTACCCAAACACCGATGCCACCAACCGCCCATGAAAATTCCAGTCATTTTGTTTTCCACAGATAGTTGGGTACATTTTGACGATGTTCGAAACTATCTACAGCCTTCATAAATCCTTCTAATGAACATCTACCGACAACTGAGTCGTGCTTAAAACCGCTGAATCGGAAGACATCTAGGTTGGTTTCGGTTCTCGTTCAACTTCCTGAATAGGTCAATTCCCAGCTGCTTCAGAGACGCAATCTGTCCAGTTTTTTTTGAATATTCTATCCACCTAGCTAGCCTCTGGCTGTTTATCAACTCCAGGCATCCTTTCAGTCTTCTACTGAGGAAGATGGTGAAAGGGGAGGGACATAAAACGGCGCGCCCCTAAACATAGACACAAACCTAAACAATGCACACTGATGATGTCACATCAACTGGTGAAAAGGCGTTTACAACCAAATCGTTAAGCTCAGTGAACAGAACACCATCCGTCCATCGTACCTTTCTCGTGCCTTCAACTATCCTGCCTCCTCAAGCAACCCCATCTGAAATTTGTCCTTATCGGAGTTGCTCGCGGAATTCCTCAGTCAGTATTGTGCAGTACCCTGCATCTCACCAGCTAGGTGTTTTTAACTATCTGTTAGCTGGACATGTTACTTTGGATCAGTTTAGCTGTTTCTCCTAAGACAAGTAACAGAAACATTTTGAAACCAAAAATATACATCAAGCGTTTTTTTCCGAATTCAGAATGCTGATTTCTTTTTGAGTAACGCGAAATCGGAGGAGGTTTTGTGGGCTCTCACTAGTCTTCATTCTTCTGACCATTGTCATACATCTCCCCATAACACACCCTGGAACACGTGACTACTTAACGAAATGCTGTCGCTCGAATGTTGATTGGTCAGCTGTCCTGCTTTGTATGGATGGATTGTAACTCCCTGTATGTCCAGTCCAAACAAATTTGATCTCTTTTACCAAACTTTTATTTGCTAACTTTGGACCACAATTTGGCATCGTCAGTGTAACTCATTTGAAAGCTTAAAGTGTATGGTTTATGATTTTGAATAACAGTAGATAAGCCAAACTGTACGCGGGAAAAGCTCAGTTAAACTTCAAAGGTAGACGTTTAGGAAGGGAAAACTTGCGATTTAGCGTTTAATTTACTCAAATACAAACCACAACAATATAGCCTTCGGCCTCCCTCAGTCAAAAGCCTGTTTTCCAAACTCGTTTTCTGAGGACAGCAGTCTATTTGGATCCTTTACAGATAAGCCCCATCAAAAAATTAACCCCCACCACCGAAAAAAAATTAGAAAAAGGAGGAAAACGAAATTTCTACTTTTGGTTTTTATTGAAGAGGGTGAAATTGGGACATGTCATCAATAATTTGCATGAAAAGGTCCGTTTTTCGGTACCTTTGCCTCCAAACGTACTCACACATGCAGCTGTCCAACAAAGATCGGTGTGTACCGCATTGTCGTCTATTCTGCATCTCGTAGACGTGCCAAAGAGACTCGATGGTTTCTGAGTGAGCTCCAGTCGTTGGATCCACAAGGTTTTCGGTATGACTAACCGTTGGAGTGTGCAAAAGCCGCCAGGCCCAAACTTCACAAAGAAAGTTATCCTAGTCAACAGCGGTCGTGTGGCTAATAGATAATTTATCTGAGCAGAATTTGATTTATGCCAAATTTTTGGACCAGCGATAAATAAATAGAAGTAATGTCCTAAACTCCATCCTAGACCGCTCCAGCCAAGTTCCCTTTTGAAGACCGATTTATGCCAATTTTTGGACCAGCGATAAATAAATAGAAGTAATGTCCTAAACTCCATCCTAGACCGCTCCAGCCAAGTTCCCTTTTGAAGACCGATCTCTTGCCGACACCGTCGGGCATTTATCAGGAAGGTCAGCTTTGTGAAAGCAACCACTGAATGCCCGGAATCTACGGCAACTCTCAGCTCCGCCGGGTGTTGACCAGACAGACAACACCCCCTCAATATGCAGCGCGTCACAGCCTTGCATCAAACCCAGACAGCGCGAGTCAGCGTTGATCAAGGACAGACAACGCCTCCGTAGTATGCAGCACGTCGCTGCCTCGTACTAAAGCCAGACCGCGTGCGTCAGCATTGGACCAAGTTCAGACAGTGTCCTTCCAATAAAAAGCTTGAGGCCGTTGTACTTTTCGCACTCGCACGCACTCGCGCTCTCGCACCCACTTTGTTGGAATATAGCTGTTGTGTTCCCTTCCGTGAGTCTTACTCTCCGACACTAGGTGCTGGAGCGGGTCAGCAGCAGATACCACAGGCCGGCGAATCAGCAGATATAACAGCATTGCACCTCCATGTGGGTTCGGGACTCTTCGGAGTTTCGTGAGATGCGCACTGCTCATGATTTCCAATAAGGATGAAACAGCTGCACAGTGCTTCTCGGCTTTTCAGCATAGATTGGCTTCACTTACAGAACGAAATCTCCACAGAAATCCCAAATCTCCTCACACTACCAACACCTTCACGTGTCAGAAACAGTTGGTGTCATTCGGTGTCCATTGTTGAATAGACGTTGCTGATGTATCACTCCGTGGCTTTCAGAAAATACATTACCGTCTCCTTGCCATGAACGAGAGTTGAAAGCGTCAGAAAGTTCAATCAAGGTTTTACGTCCGAACGGAGAAAATCTTTGCAAAATGAGCCTGGATGCGGGTAAGGAATTCTTTTCATCAGAAATAGGTCAAGGCTGCGTGCGTACACTAATTTGGAGCTGGCAGAATGTGGCGGGGCCTAACTTTTTGCACATACACTTTTGCATTGCTAGCGGGGCTTATCTGGAAAAGATCCGTTTACCTAACTGTGATTGTGTCTCTTGCATAGGGGTGTTCAGCCGTAATTTGTGCTATCTCGGCGTGTTATGCCTTGAATTATAACTGGGCGTACACAACTGGGTTGCACAATTGATCGTTCGGCCACTAGCGGCCGAACAGTAGTGTGATTAGCTCTCATCTTTCTCCGATTTCCCCGAACCCTCAATGCGCACACGCAGGGTTCTCAGAGTGCGTTCACCGTTCTGTATACAGAAGAAATTCGTAGCACTCCAATATAGCGTGAATCAGTGGCCCTCTGCTCTGTGTTATCTAAGTGTTCGGTTAACGCCAACGAGGTGCAGAAACAGATATTTTGAAGCACCATGGTTTTTCTCCCGTCACATTGCTAAGGATAGATTGAACTATCTGCTAGTGGATTCTAGGCGGGTGCGGATTTTTCAAATTGTTTATCCGAGATCACCATGTGACGCAACTGCAATTCACTTTGCAAAACATCCGTAGAGATAAAAAGTTACAGTTGATTATTCATAAGGCTAAACATTCGACGCCCATGGCTGTTTAATCTTATATAGGTAAACACATGGTGTTTGTTAACAGTTCTCACCGAATAATCCAAAGGATGAGGTGATTGACAAATATGTTTATGTGATTCGATGCTTTTTGCTGATTGGATGACCAATGTTCCTCGACAGGTTACACGTATCAAGTCACAGGAGATGGATGACCTTGAACGCAAAAAAAAATGAAACAGTTCAGTTGGAGGGAGGTTGAAAGACTATTTATGGACAGGCATCCTGCCTCGTTCGTGTATTTGATTAAAAAGAGAAAAATAGTTTCACAAGGTCACTGGATTCAATGAATTGCCTCAAACAAGTGATCAAGCTAATGATCACACAGGGCATTGCTTGTTGTGAAAGAATTCGTCTAGATGGTGGATCCTTTTAGCTTACTGTTTATCCCGACGACAAAGAGCGAAGATATCACAATATCTGACAAAAGATGATCACAGGAACCAACCTAAGCAAACCAGACTGTTTTGAGTATTCCCTGCTTTGTACACATTTTCGAACGAATTTGCGGTAGCAAGTACGTTGAAAGAATTGAGAAGTGGTAATCTACAAAGATTTACGACCACACCACAAAGATGTGAGCACTTACTGGTTCCAAACTCCCGTCCAGCGAAATCACTAGTCTATTGGTAAATTTCAACGAAGCCAAAGAACCAAGGAAGTTACCCAATATCACAAAACCGGCTGCCTATCACGCTTTCTCAAAGCGACGATAATTCAATGCTACAAACCCAATCAAGTGGAATATGTGGCCAGCCTTGCTTTTTTGGTAATGCCGAGATTGAACCGTATCTACAAACCTACTGGCTTTATCCAATTTAATGTGGGATCTACTGACCTTTGCTCAGTGTAATTTTTCACTGGTCTGTGTGTTTATCTGTTCGTTATCCTGCCCTGGGCTTGATTCTGAATGTGTAAACGCCTGATTAGATATGCAACCTAGTGGAATTTAGCCCATCATAGAAGTAATTAACTGTGGATGCGAAAGCTCACTGAGGTTCTCTAACGGCGGCTGCAAGTGACGCACACCTTCGGCGAACAACTTAGCAAGTACATTAATTTGAGACACTTATCGACTTAATTCACGTTGCTATTCAGGTCCACTGGGCTTAGTGTATCTGGTGCTGGGTGCAATCTTCACAAAAAGTTACACTTGGAACAAAGTCCAAATAGCGAAGTTTTTCTCTCTCCAAACGTAGTCCGTGAATGGTCCGTTTCGTTCATCTCTGTACCTTTGCTCTGATGGTTGCTACGTTTTGAGCGAACCTAACTGCATGGAATCCAAATCGAAACGATCGATAGAGCGGGTCCATACTTCCGCTTTTCACACTCATAGGACTGGAGGCTTCGCTGAGTGACCCTGGAACGTTTGCCCTTTGGGATCGATGCAACCGTAAAAAGCAAAATAGAAACGTAGCCAGTTGGTGCACAAAAGTCTCGCGAATGAATTGAATTTCCCACAGCCCTGGCGAGGGAAACCCCCCGCTCTGTCAACATGTCGTTTTGTATGGCACAACTATAACAGCTCATACAGGGAAAATTCCCTCAACTCACCTTATCTGTTTTCGCTTATTTGCGCGTCAGCCCATACCGGAGTGGCCCTCTCACGGCTAAGCGACAGTGTAATCATACATCACAATGAATGTTATGAATTCGATCTAGCCTTGTGGCTTGTTGGACACATGCGCTGAATGAGGATCCAATTACACAACCGAAAAGAGTGACATCAAGGGACAGGTCCCAAATAAGTGATCTCTAGTTTATTGGGTGAATGTCAGCTTAGCTGTAGTAGACGGAGGTCTCTTGAACTCCACGTTGATGGACCAAACATGTGTTGAAAGGCACTCGACTGTGTGACTCGGTATTACTGTGACAATCAACTTTGCGTTGCGTAGGAAACGTCATTAGAAATTTCCATATTTATATCGTTCTTCTTCCCGTATAGCGAATATAGCGCTTCACAATCTGGTAGTACGATTCCATTTCAGAGAGATAAGGGTTTGAGCGATTTAGACGAAACTCGCTGTGAAGAGTAAACACACATCACAATGGCGCTGATAACGTTGTTGAGAAAGAAATCTCTCGCTTCATTGAATTGAGCACATAACATGTCTTAGGGTTTCATAGCAACATACAGACAATAAACGAGTTATCTGGTTTTCATAAACGAAACTACTCACAAGGTTGTTGAAAACTCTTCGACAGCCCACGACCGGTTTCGCCCTTCTTGGGGCTCATCAGGTTCCAAGTAGAACATAATGTCGACAGAAACAAGGGAAATGTGCCTACCTGATGAGCCCCAAGAAGGGCGAAACCGGTCGTGGGCTGTCGAAGA